AAAGACAATTCAATAGTGATCTTCTGAAATTAGTAAAATATGTTTATGAGATATTTTTAACCCATAGGAAGAAAAATGTATAAGTAAAAAGTAAATATATTCTTGGGAATTAAGCCAGAGAAATTTTGGGAATAAAAGTGGTACTTTTAATATTCATGGTTTTTCAGGAGGAAATTTTTTTTTTTTTTTTTAATTTTTTGTTTATTGCAGTAACATTGGTTTATAACATTGTAAAAATTTCAGGTGTACATTCAGGAGGAAATTTATATGAGTCAAAAATAAAATGAAATTTAATTGAAAGCATACACTAAATGTCTAGACTTTGATTAAAGAAAAGCAAAGCAGTATTTTTCTTATAATATTTGATGATATCTTCTTGTAATTTGAAATATATCATGGGATTTATAAATTGAGCTACCACCCACTGATAACTTTTAGGAACCTAAAGGATTTTAATGAGATGTCTTAAAACCTTACCGTGACAGCATTCGTATAAGAGCGGTATTTCTTATAATGTGGTTATCCTCCTCAACCAAGAGAGTTTAGTTACTAAAGAAATAAAGTGATTTCTTTGTTTTGATGAGATCCATCTTAGCTATAAGATGGTTCTATGACACTGCAAAGACAGTATTCAGAATAAATTTCCAATATACGTGTACATTCTTTTTTTTTGTACTTGTTTGTACCTTTTTGTACCATTATTTGAGAGCTCATTTACTAATTTTAAAAATCTAAGAAAGGCAGCGTAGAGCTTCTGTACTACATGAGATTCTGACTGTTAAGTATAAAAGCAGATCATCATTTTCTATCTGCGTTCTCTCTGTCTCAATTGCCAGAATTGAATGTCTGTACTACTGAAATGCCTAGAACTTCAGGAACTTCTGAAATTTCACGGGCATTTCACAGTTATAGCTGAACAAAAATTACTTTGAATTGAAGCATTAGAACATCCCCTTAGAACATATAATTCTGCTTTGAAAATATACCATTTGACTGAACTATTGGATTCTAAAATTTTCCTTATTTATAGTAATCTTCCCAAATGACACTTGATGAAGTGAATAGAGTTTGAGACTAGACATATTTCCACTCACGGACAGTGATTAAGTAAACATTTCAGGTACATAAAAGAGTGAAGGGAATTTGTTGATAAGATTGCGATCTTTTAATGGCCTTTTGGCTTCAATTCACTTGCCAAATAAAGATAAATGGTAGAAGATGGGAAATCTTTACAAATTCAACAATTAGTCTCACAGCTAGAAACCAAAGCCTAGTTTTGAACATTGTGCTGCTAGAAATAGTGATAGCTTACAGAAGATATAAAGAAAGTTCAGGGGTTCTGGAAAAAGCTGGATGGATGGCTTATAAATAATTTATGTGGCACAGAATCCTGAGGCCATATCTTTGTGGAAGGACACTAGGGTTTACTAAATGCCTACTTTATGGTAGACACACATATATATTTTTTTTTGAGGAAGATTAGCCCTGAGCTAACATCTGTTGCCAATCTTCCTCTTTTTTTTTTTGCTGAGGAAGATTGGCGCTGGGCTAACATCCGTGCCCATCTTCCTCTACTTTATATGGGACGCCGCCACAGCATGGCTTGACAAGTGGTACGTTGGTGCATGCCCAAGATCTGAACCTGCGAACCCAGGGCCGCTGCAGTAGAGCGCACAAACTTAACTGCTATGCAACTGGGCCAGCCCTAGACACGTATGTTTTTAGCACTCCAAAAGGAACCCAATTTTAAAGGCAGGAAAGTGAGGTTCAAGGAGGTTAAGTAACTCTACTGTTTTAAGTATAGGAGTTGGGATTGAAATAAGGAGTTGAAATAAGGAGTCTTATTTCAAAGCCATAAGTTGTCCTCTATTCCTGTGGAGGACAACTTAAGAGTTATTAAATTGCAGAGTCATTACTTAGTAAATTTTGGCTCATTGAGAGGTCAGAGGGCAGAGGAAAACTTGTAGGATTAAATTTAATGTAATGCTTATTATCGCTCTACTTTCATCAGCAATTAACTTTGACTACTTTTAAAGTCAATTTTTTTCTTTTGCTGCTCCAGAAAGTCTGAATTTAAAAAGCAAAGTGCTGCTCATGGGTAATTAACGGGATGAAAAGAGATCTTAGGACTGCGTAAATAAGAGGGACCAGGGGCTGAGGTCAAAGTCTTCATGTGTGGTATTTGTCCTCAAATATGTGGTTAAATGCTCCCTTTCTGCCTGAGAAACTTAAAAAGGTATATTTTTGCCCGAGAGAGTATAGGCAATAGGGTATTAGAGGCTGGATAGATAGATGTCAGCAGTTATTGTAACACTCCTTGTGGTTTCCTTGAGTTAATTTGTACTGAGTTCTTATTGACTGTTTGCTGTATATCAAAAGAAAGGGCACACTGAGGGAAGCTGTTTGCTTCCACAACTTGTACGTCCCATTATGAAAAACTCAAGTGATGTTTTCCCTATTAGCCTGTAAACTCAATGAGGACACGGGATTGGGTCAGTTTTGTTCCTTATTCTTAAGGGTCATGTACTGCCTGGAAAGAGGTAAAAATACTAATTTTTATTTGGGTCTTTGTTAAATCAAGGATGCTTGTGCTATACTGTAGCACAAGAGTTAACAAACTGTTTTTGTCCAGGGCCAGATAGTAAACATTTTAGGCTTTGCTCGCCATATGGACCGTGTCGCAACTATTCACCTCTGCTGCTATTGTGCAAAAGCCGTCATAGACAATATGTAACCAAACGGGCATGGTTGTTTTCCGATAAAACTATTTATAAAAACAGGAGATGTGCCAGATTTGCCCTGTGGTCATAGTTTGCTGACCCCTGCTCTAGGGTAGGACTAAAATAATAATAAATGAATCTATAATTATCCAGCTAAAAGAGGAGAAAAATAGAATAATAAAAAATAATCCTAAAGAACATAAGAAAGAAAAGAAAAAGAATCATAACATGTAGGATAAATAGCTAATACTAAGACAGTAAATTGAAATCCAAATATTAGTAATTGTATTAAATGTAAAGGACAAAATGCTTCAATAAAAAAGACAAGAATTGTGTCAAGATGGTTATAAAACAAAACAAATCTAAATTCTGTTTCCAAGAGACATACTTTAAGTATACAGATATAGGTTGAAACTGAAAAGTTACACACTAGTCTAAAAAAAGCTGATATAGTCATGTTAATATCAGATAAAGTAGACCTCAAGGCAGAAAAACATTAATAAAGAGGGAGATTTTAAAATAGTAAATGGTTCAGTTCACAAAGAATATATGAAGTTCTGAATATGTGTCTTTAATAACATCTCAAAAATATATTAAAATCAGTTGACTGAACTAAAAGAAGAAACAGACAAATCCACAGTCATAATGGGAGATTTAACTACTCTTCTTTCCGTAATAGATAGAAAGTATAGTGGAAAAACATCAGTAAGGAATTAGAACAATTTGAGCAACATGATTAACACTTGACCTGAGGGACTCATGACCTAAGCACCTCAAATTATACACATGCACGTTTTCAAAAATTGAAAGGATTGAAATCATATAACATACATTGTTTGACCATAGTGGCCATAGTGTTTAACTAGTGTTTAGCTAGAAATCAATGACAAAAAACTAGGAAATCTGTGTATGTTTGGAAAGAATAAATCTCAATGGAAATTAGAAAATATTTTGAACTGAAATATTATAAGGAAAATACTACATATAAAAACTTGTGGGATGTAGCTAAAGCTGTGTGAGAAGGAAATATAGAGCCTTATGTACATATATATGAAAAGAAAAAGTATTAAAAATTAATGATCCAAGCATAAATTACCAGAATTTAGAAAAACAATAGCAAATTAAATGCAAAGAAAGTTAAAAAAGGTTTTGGTAAAGATAAGAGCATGGGGCTGGCCTGGTGGCGTAGTGGTTAAGTTCGCGCGCTCCACTTCAGCGGCCCAGGGTTTGCAGGCTCAAATCCTGTGCACAGGTCTATGCATTGCTCATCAAGCCATGTGTGGCGGTGTCCCACATGGAAAATAGAGGAAGATGGGCACAGATGTTAGCTCAGAGCTAATCTGCCTCAGCAAAAAGAGAAGGATTGGCAACAGATATTAGCTCAGAGCCAATCTTCCTCACCAAAAAAAAAAAAAAAAATAAAAGCAGAAGTTAATAAAATAAAAAACAAACATACAATAAAGAGAATCAACAAAGCAAAAAAAGAAAAAACATTAGTTTTTTGAGAAGTCTAATAAAATTGATAACCCCTGGTAAGACTGATCAAGAAAAAATGAGAGAAAGGACAAATAACCAATATCAGGAATGAAAAAGTAATTATCACTACACATCTTACACAATATTAAAAGTCATGAGAGATTATTATGAAGAGGCTTCAAATTTATACCAGTAAATTTGAAAATTTAATTGAAAAGGACATATGTGTTGAAAAATTTGACTTACTAAAGTTGACACAAGAATAAAAAAATCTGAATAGACTTATAATTATTTTTAAAAATTGTAATCTAATTGAAAATCTTCCCACAATAGAAGTTTCCACCAAACATTTAAGGAAGAAATAACACCAGTCTTTTTCAAGCTGTTATACAGAATGGAGAAAATACTAGTTTTATGAACTCTACATGGACATTATAAGAAAGGAAACTAGGTTATCTGACTTATGAACTTAGATGTAAAAATCTTAATAAAAATATTAGCAAATTGAATCTAGCAATACTTAAAAAGTATAACGCATCATGACCAAATTGAGCTTATTCCAGGAATACAAAGTTGGCTTAACATTTGAAAATAAATCAGTTGTAATTCATCACATTAACCAAAATAAAGGCAGAAGAAGAAACCATATGATCAACTCAATATATGCAGAAAAAACATTTGATAAAATTCAAAATCAATTCATAATAAAAAACTTGTCAAGTAATAGTTGAGAACTTTTTTCTGATAAAGCATATCTATTTACAAAGAAAGCTACAGCAAACATCGTACTTAATACTGAAATGTTGATATGTTTTCTCAGATTAGGAATGAGTTAAGGATAGTCACTATCACTTTACCGGAGTCTTAGCCAATGCAGTAAGGCAGGAAAAAGAATAAAAGATATAATGAATGGAAAGGAAGAAAGAACATTTTCATTCATAGCCAATATGAATGAATGGTGAAAAACTGAAAGACCATGATTGTTATTACAACCATGGTTATTATTACCAATACGTGAATTTAAGAAGGTTGTTAGCTCTGAGGTCAATATAAAAAATTATGAATAGCATCAAAAATATCAGAAACCTAGGAGTAAATCCAGTGACACATATGGAAAACTATTCCTTTATTATTAGTGCTTTTTTGTGCCCGTCTTAAGAAATATATCCATGCCAAAGGTCATGGACATATTTTTCTTTTTTTTAAATTTTTTTAAATTTTTTTTTTTTTTTTTGTGAGGAAGATCAGCTCTGAGCTAACATCCATGCCAATCCTTCTCTTTTTGCTGAGGAAGAATGGCCCTGGTCTAGCATCTGTGCCCATCTTCCTCCACTTTATATGGGACGCTGCCACAGCATGGCCTGACAAGCGGTGCGTTGGTGCACGCCCGGGACCCGAACCCGGGCCACCAGCAGTGGAGCACGCACGCTTAACTGCTACACCATGGGGCCAGCCCCCAATGGACATATTTTTCTATGCTCTTTTAAACTTTATTGTCTTGCCTTTCACATTTAGAGGTATGATCCACTTGGAATTGCTTTTTGGGTACGGTGTGAGTGAAGAGTGAAGTTTTATTTTCCATAGAGATAACCAATAAACTCAGAACTGTTTATGAGAAGACTGTCCTTTGCCTATTCTTCAGTGACGGGTTTATTATACATCAAGTGTTTCTTCTATGCTTACATCTATTTCTGATCTCTTTTCCATTCCATTGGTCTACTAAGTCCACGCTGTTTTATTCATTGTGCTTTATAATTTTTGATATGCACCATGTTCTTCTTTAAGAATGTGTTGGATATTCTTAGCTCTTTGCATTTTCAAATAAATTTTAGCTTTTTTGATGGCTATGGAATGGCATCCCACTATCATTTAAATTTACAATTCCATGATTGCCAACATCTTTTCATATGCTTTTGACTATCTGGAAACTTTTTTGTGAAGTGCTGGTTCAAAACTGTCTCACATTTTTCTACTGTGTTGTCTTTTTCTTATTGATCTATAGGAGTTCTTTTTATATTCTGAACACAAGATTTTTGTGTTGGTTATATGTGTTGCAAATAATTTCTCCTACTTTGTGCTTGCCTTTTTACTCTCTTAAGGGATTCGCTTAATAAACAGAAGCTCCTAATGTCAGTGTGGCCAAATATTGTGATTTCTGTGTATGCTTTTCACCTGTTTTTTGTAGAGGAAAGAACATGGATAAATCTAAGATTCTTCCTGAGTACAATTACAATTTAACTTGTTACTAATAACTGATATTTGCTTTGCAGCTGTGGATTTCTTCAATCAGATCAACATGCTTTATGGAACCATCACAGATTTCTGTACAGAGGAAAGTTGTCCGGTGATGTCAGCTGGCCCAAAGTAAGACATGGTTCATGACCAGTTCTCATTTTTACTTTTATAGTTCTTAGATAAGAAGAAAGTTTCTGACCATATAATTTCTCTACTTAGCATCTCCTTCAGTGGTTCACCAGTGACTAATATATTCAGTCCAGATTCTTTAGCCTGAGCTTTATGGCCCTCCCTATATTGTCCCCCATCATGCCTTTCCTCTGTTTGCTTGTGTATCTCCTCTGGTCTATCCAAACTAGGTTACTGGAAATGCTTTGCTTTTCTCTCCATTACTTATACTTTGAAAACTTACTCATTTTGTTCTTCTCTTGGATATTTTTCTTCTTTTCCCATACCTCTTCTATCATCTTCTGCTAATATTTCAAAAAATCTTACCCATCTTCAATGCCTACATCAAATGCTTCTTTCTCCATGAAACCTTCTGATTTCTTCAGACTAGATGGGATCTTTCTATTTAACTTTTTTGTCTTTATGGTTATGTTTCTCTGTTACATTATACTTATACTTTATACTTATACATGTTTTATTTTACCTGTTGGATTTGTTCTTTTTTTAAATCTCTTTTGGTGCAAGAACAGTGCCTGCTACCTAGTTAGCACTCAATAAGTGTTGCTTAGACCAATAAATTTTTGAAACTGGATTTTATTATTACTATGGCTGATAATAACAATGGCAGCTACCATTTATTTTATGCTACCTAAATGTAAGGCCTTTCATGCATCATGTCTTTTCCTTCATACAGCAGCCCTATGAGCTAAGAAAACTATTGTTATCCTCATTTTAACAGGAAAAGAAATTGAGTCTGAGAAAGGTTAAGTAACATGTCCAAGGTCCTGTTATCTAGAAACAGGCAGAACTAGGGTTGAAATTCAGGTCTCTCTGATTCTATTGTCTGTACTCTTAAATTGCTACATTCTATTATTTTCTTATAAGAAATATTAATTGATGCTTATAGGGCACGTATAGAGAGAAATTTTATTTTTAGTGTTGACTTTTTATAAAGTATATTCTCCCTCCTAATTATATACAAGGTATAAATATCAAAACAAAACAAATTGCCCAAACTTACTCATGCTTAGGAGTATTATAAGTAGTGACCTTAGATTGCCATTCACTTATTGTACGGGTGCTTTCATTGCTCAGATTATTTTTGGTAACTTTTAAATTGCAGTATCAGAGTCAGATCACTAGCCACCCAAAAGATTCAGTTTTATTACTTTATCATCATACTTTACTTTTTGACCAAGTTCACTTATTGAATGAAATATTACCTAGTTGGAGTCATTTACCTTGTTCCTCAGATTGACTACAAAAGAGCTTAGGTGTTTCTCAGAATCCAGTGCTTTTAAAAAGAACTGACAATTTGTCATCATCAAAGATGTTCAAAATAATACGCTTTGAATATTTCTTAAGGTAATTTTTTGAAAAGAACGTATTTTCAAACATAATAAAAATAACTTATTTTCAAACTATTGCAAACTTCAAATCTTCAAATAATTTTAAGGGTACAGAAAAGTTGCCAGAACAGCACAAAGAACTCCCATATCCCTGCACAAAGAACTCCCATATCCCTTTCATCCAGATTCCCCAATTATTAATATTTTACTGCATTTGCTTTATTACCTACTCTCTCTATATATGTATACTCATTAACATTAATTTTTTCTGAACCTTTTGAGCAAGTTATAGACATTATGGCTCCTTTATCCTGACACATTCAACTGTGATTTTCCAAAAACAAGGATACTCTTCTACATAACCAGCACACAGACCCTTCAAATCACTTCCTCCAGTCCATAGACACCATTCATATTTCATCAGCTGCCTCAACAGTATCTGTTTTTTCTTTCTGATCCAGGATCCTATCTAGGAAAATGTATTGCATTTGTTTGACTTATCTCTTCAGGTACCTTCAATTTGGAATAGTTCCTCAGTCTTTCCCTGTATTGGCCTCTGTGCAGAAAAGAGTTGACATAGCAGGCCTCTCTGCTATCTCTTGAAAGGTCTGCTTGCAAGGTTGGTCCTTGGATGGCATCTAGGAATTTGGATTTCGGAGGCTTCCCACCACCCTAACTGTTAAGAGTGGCTCACTGTGTCTAAACTGTTTGTACAAATGACATGGCTTATGCTTTCCTTGTGGGAGTCTGGAATTCTGGTATGTGCATGCAGAGGGTGCCTACCTCACCATCTCCCAATAGAGACACTGAGTCTCTAATGAGCTTTCCTGGTAGACAGTAGTTAAGCCGTGTTATCACAACTCAGTCTTGGGGGAGTTAAGCACATCTGGTGTGACGCCACTGAGAGAGGACTCTTGGAAGCTTGTGCCTGGTTTCCTCTGGACTTGGCCCCATTTGCCTTTTCCCTTGGCTGATTTTGGTTTGTGTTATTTCACTGTAATAAATCATAGCTGGGAGTACAACCATATGCTGAGTTCTGTAAGTCCTCTTAGCAAATCATCAAATGTGGCGGTGGTCTTGGGGAGCCTGACACATTCTGTCTGATGTTTCCTTATGACCACATTCAGGCCTTGCATTCTTGGCAGGAACACCACAAAAATGATACTTGTTTTCTCAGTGGATCATATCAGGAGGCATTCACTATCTACCATCCATCACTAGTGATGTTAACCCTGATTACGTTATCATACTAGTTTTTGCAAGGTTTCTTCATCTCAAATCTGTCATTTTCCCATTTGCAGTTGATTAGTATTTTATTGGGAATTTTTCTGATAATACACCAACATCTTGTTCCTGTGAACTAGGGAGAATCACTGCCACTTAGAATAATGCTCTGATCACTTTCCCCATGGAAACCTTATCTAAATAGCTGGTATAAGAAGAATGTACCTAGTTCTTCAAAAGTTACAGGCACAGGGTCTCTGTAAAAATACTACAAAAATGGAAAATGATCTCCTTCCTTATCTCCTTCCTTCTTCTTCCATTCTCCTTCCTTCCTTTCTTCCTTCCATCGTCTCAACTTCCTTTCTTCCTTTTTTTCTTTCTGTCCTTCTCCTTCCTTCCCTTCCCTCCTTCCACCTACCCTCCCTTTCTTCCTGTTTTTTTGAGAATTTTAACTTTTGTCTATTATTAGTGCTGAGAAGATGTGTTGTCGTCATGGTTTGCCATCTCTACCAGCAGATGCTCAGGACTGTACCAAGGAGACGTATTTTTTAATAGCTTAGCACTGGCCCCTTGCAAAGTGGTATTGAGTGATGGTTCATAGGATTTTGTCCTCATTCACTTTTTATTATTATTAACCAAGAAATGAATGAATATTCATTTGGAGTTGGAAGTGAATATTTTGGAGTTTGCAGTTTTTAATCATGCCATGATGACAAATAAATGTCAAAGAGAATGGTCTGTCAAAGGTGAAATAAAAAAATCAAAGGAGCAAAATAGAGTTAAAAGATGAAGTCATCTTAAGTATAAACATTACAAAAGGAAAAGGATCAGAGAATTATAGTTACAAACTCTAGAAGTATAAGCAATATACAGTTTTTTTTTATTTTTCAAAAAGCCTTAGGATATTGAAAGTTGGTATTTTTTTAAAAGCTTCAGGATATTGAAAATGATTTTTTGGTTTACTGTGTCGCTTCTGATTTTTGCATTAAAAAATAAATATGGAACACCTAAAAGTCATTAACAAAATGAAAAACATGATTGTGAGGGAAAGGCAAAATTGCTAAGGTTTCTTAACATGATGGAGAAAACATGGATGAGTCTCTTTCTTGAAGTAAAGAGTAATGATGGTTAAAAGTCCTACTATCCATGGTCTCTATCTCCTAAGAGGATCAAATGAAAATAGGCTTAAGTCACACTCAGGACTTTAGATTTATATTAGGAAGAACCTCTTGACTGTGAAAGTGATTAAACAGTGGAATAGGATGCCAAGAAGTGTTGGAGAATCTCCTCTTGGACACCTTCCAAATAGATTTGACAGTCATCCCTGTTGCCTAGGGTTGGCAATAAGGTATGCTGGCATAATGTTTATTCAGGTGTATCCTGTTTAGGTTTTTTTATTGTTCAGGTGTAAGTAGCTATGATTAAATAGAAAGCATCCTTACTTATCCTGTCTCAAGATAATTTCATAGTTTAAAATAACCTGTAGGATTTTTCCGTTATATTTTCCTTCATCTCCTTTGCTAGGCTAACTGACCTATCATTCTGTCAGTCCGAACTCTGGGACAAGCTTAGAAAAACACAGTTGATTCAGAGAGAGAAGCTAAGTGGCAGAAGTAACCTTTTGGAAACTAGAAAACTAAGTGCTAGTTTAGTTTAGAGATTTTTATACTTTGGAGTTTCAGCTGTGTGCTTATTCTTTATCCTAAAATTCAGGTTGTGGTTGTGTGTGTGTGTGTGTATGTGTGTGTAAGTAACTCTATTAGCATTCTTGTACTGTTTTTGCTTACTCATTTACAAGTCTATCTTCTCTACTAGTCTATTCTCTTTGAGAACAGGGAAAGTGTCTTTCATTTTGGTGTCCCTTGTTCAAGACCAATATTCCTTGACACAGTATTTCTCACATGTTAGGTGGACATTAAATGTTTATATACCAAAGAATAGTGTTCTATTAATACCCAAATCCTATAGGCATCTTTATTTGGATTGCTGCTTTTCTTTAAAGGCATGCTTAGCTCTTCAACCAAATGTATTCAAATATTAAATCATTCTCTTCTTCATTCATCTTACTTTGGAGCTTCCTGTGTCATTCTCTATCCTTAACTCAAAATTTAAAGCCCCAAGTTAAAATAAGGAGAGATGTTTTTCAAGGAAGAAGAACAACTGTAAAGATTAAAGATGGTCATCATAGAAGTGGGAAATAAGCTAGATTTTCTACTATGGCAATGTACAATTCTAAAATGTAAACGCTATATATGAAGGAAAGCTCATAAAAAATGAGTTTTATGGGATCTGCTTAGTTTGAATTGTGATAAATACAGAATAGTCCAGTAGCAATTAAAAATGCTAAATTTAAATGCCAAATGTGAAAAGTCTTTATTTGGAGGAGCAGATTGTTTAAAAGGTGTCCTATATACATTCATAATACACATACACATATAAAATACACACACTATATATAGATATATATTGATATTCTGTGTGCTGTTTATCTTTCCAATACAGATATGAGTATCATTGGGCAGATGGAACAAACATAAAGAAGCCTATTAAGTGCTCTGCGCCAAAGTATATTGATTACCTGATGACTTGGGTTCAGGACCAGTTGGATGATGAGACATTATTTCCATCAAAAATTGGTATAATTGTTTTGTATAATTGGGATCCATCATGATGTATCTAATTTTATATGTTTGTAGAGCTTACTGGCTCTCTATTCCAGGAACCATACTGGATTACCATACCTATCAAAATATTTCTAATCTTATACATTTAAAAGTGTCCTTTTTCATACCAAGTTTATCATGAACGTTAAGGTAAAACTCCCTTAATTTTAAACAATGAGAAGATCAAAATCTGGCTGTTATGGAAAAAAGAGACTGGATATTGGGTAGGCAGTCAATATCATCTGCTCCAGTCATCCATTTCTTGTTTAGGGAAGGAGTTTTATGACACATATCCAGTCTTACATTATATTTGTGGCAAAGAGGGAATTTGAATTTATGACCCACAGTGTGAATCTTACAGAGTGTGAAATCAAGCTAGGTGAGGAGAAAACAAGAAGATTTGAGGAGTTGGCCTGTTATCAACTGAGTGACTTTTGCTTTTTCATATTTGCTCTTAAAGGCTGACCTTTCAAGTGGAAATTGTTCACATCTAGATATTCATATGATTTTACCTTCTCAAACTTCTTACAACTGTGTTTTCTGAAAAAATTAAGAATTTGCTCTTCTAATAGTAAACAACTTTTTGACTATACTTTATGCTTTTGGTTTTTAGAAGGGTGTGGTGCGGGAGATAGCAATGTAAATAGTTGCTGTTATTATGGATTGTTTTAAACTCATTTGTTGAATGCTTTGCTTTGGGGCCTTTATAATAAAAGATCTATTTTTCAAAACTGCATTACGTGGATAAGTGCCCTCACCTTATCTTTTATTACCCATAATATGTTTTTTAACTTTTTATTTTGACTCAGTTTCAGACTTTTAGAAAATTTTTAAGAATCATGCAAAGAATCCCTGAATATCCTTCTTCCAGATTCTTTAGTTGCCAATATTTTACATTTGCTTTCTGTCTCTCCCTCCCTCCCCTCCCCCACAATCTTTCTTTTCCCTGAACTGTTTGAGAGTAAGTTGCATATATGTTGCACCTTTATTCGTACGTGCTTCAACGTATATTTCCTTAGAAAATCACAGTATAACTATCAAAATCAGGAAATTAACCCCAACACTATTGTATAATTTACAGATTTCATTCAGATTTTTCACAATTTCCCAATAATATCTTTTATAATGAAAGAAAATCTTTGACATTTGTTTTCATTCAGTTGTCATGTCTCTTTAGCCTCTTTTAATGTGGAATATGTGTACTTCAGTCTTTTTTGGTTTTTCATGACGCTGATATTTTTGAAGAGTGTAGGCATACTATTTTATATAGTATGGTTTGTCTTATGTTTCCTTGTGACCTATAATATTTTTAAATGAGCAGTGGGCAATGTGATGACATTGAACCCAGTAGTATCAGTATTTGGCTTGTGTTTTGCCAATCTGGATCATTTAGCTAGTGTAACAAAGGATATGGAATTTTTAGTTTATATTTGTTTAATGCTGTAAAAGTGTTCTAATTCATAAAACAATGAGCCTAGTGGAGCAAGACTGCAGATAATTTCAGGATAAATGTAGACCTGGAGTAGTAATGAAATAATTTCCATAGAAAGAAATATAAAAATATATTACAAGCCTTTTAAACAAAACTGAACATGGTTAATATATTATTTGTGTTCAGCAAATATTTGTATCGAGACTTATTGTGTGTGTGTGTGTGTGAGGAAGATCAGCCCTGAGCTAACATCCATGCTAATCCTCCTCGTTTTGCTGAGGAAGACGGGCTCTGAGCTAACATCTATTGCCAATCCTCCTCCTTTTTTTTTTTCCCCCAAAGCCCCAGTAGATAGTTGTATGTCATAGTTGCACATCCTTCTAGTTGCTGTATGTGGGACGTGGCCTCAGCATGGCTGGAGAAATGGTGCGTCGGTGCGCGCCCGGGATCTGAACCCGGGCTGCCAGCAGCGGAGCGCGCGCACTTAACCGCTAAGCCACGGGGCCGGCCCCTTATCGAGACTTCATGTTAAGAAATCTGAAGATCTGAGTGTGAGTTTTAGCTCCATTACCATCTTAGGAATTTATTTGTTTCATTTTAGTAAAGTGGTGATATATTAGAGGCATAAAGGGCTATACTGAAAACTAGTTCTTATTCCAGAGATGCTTTGAAGTTTATTTTCGTTCATGATATGTTGAGAACTTCTGTAACTACAGTGGGCATATTAAGTAGTAATTCATAAATACTTCTTTTCAACTTTGTCTTAGTAATTTATGTTGTCATTTGCTGACAAATTCATATTGCCTTGTTCTCATCTCTTGTTAATAGAGGGGGTTGTTTATCTATTTTACTAGGTGTCCCATTCCCGAAGAATTTCATGTCTGTGGCAAAAACTATACTCAAACGCCTCTTCAGGGTTTATGCTCATATTTATCATCAGCATTTCGACCCTGTGATCCAGCTTCAGGAGGAAGCGCATCTCAATACATCTTTCAAGCACTTTATCTTTTTTGTCCAGGTGAGTTGGATTAGGAGGCTTTTTTTGCTCAGTAAAAGCAGTTACCTACGGAGTTCTGTGGTGAACACTGCATCCATACTGTCAAGGTAAAATTTGCCGTATCTCTTTAGTCTTCATCCTCTTCTATACTTGCCATGATGATAACGACTGGCCTTCTGTTTCTCAATTCCGTTCATCTCCAAGCTGGTGGCATGCAAATCTAAAATGGATCTCAGAGGATTTGCCTTGGATTTACTTCATTTAACAGGCCATATGGAGGGACTGAAGAACGAACCTAGCCGGTTTGGCAGACCTACAGATGAACTTGGTCTCTTGAGCATTTTAGCACTCTTCCTACTCTTCTGTCTACCCTGGATTTTTTTAAGCATACACTGGCCTGGAAATGGGCTTTGAATATCACACCTTTTTTTTTCTCCTTTTTTGGACCATATTCTGAATGATTTTTAAGTTAGGTACTGACCATTATGTTCAAAAGGGGAAAATGTCCCAAAGAGTGTTGCTGTCCCAGAGGCCCATTAGTCTTTGCCCTGACTCCTTAGTTGACCTCCTCTTCCTTCTCTCTTGAGTTCTTAGTGATGTAGACTAAGAGGAGGGAGGCTGTTCTTATCCTGCTATAATAATTAGAGAACTAACAGGCGGGAGTGAAAAAGAGGTGGAAACGGATAAGCTGACCCCCCTTTTTTCTGGTGGAAGTTGAGAGGGCAGGTGGTAGGCAGAAGTCCAAGGCTTGAATCAGTGTTGTTTTTGTATTTCTGTGGGCATATACTTACAAATGCCTTCTCCACACCTCATCTCCACTAAAGAAAAATGTGTCAGTTCCCTCTATACACACTCTTGACACTGAAGGCACCCCTTTTGTGTCTTAATTTCACCTACATGAACACATTTTAGGAGATCTTAACTTGCCAAAACTGTTGCTCTGAGCAATTACTTTACTGTGGTATTCCATCTACAGACACCTGTGGAAACAAAGAAAAACTTTATCTTAAAGTTTGCATGTGTGCTTTGGTTTAGGCAGAACATGATTACTGAAGTTCAGGTTTTAGTGGTTTAGGAGAGGATATTCTCCCACCAGAAGGGTTAGTTTTACTCTACTGTATGATCTTAAAGTGCACTGTATCTACCAACTCCTAGCAAATAGTAGGGGATCGATAACGTGACATTCACCACATCTGAGCCTATTTATATCTCAGGACACTGTGACTTTCTTAAAGGTAGGTCCCTTAGTTATACATTATCACATACTGCTGATTGAGTAAGAGGGGCCTCTGCTCTGGGTCTCAATTTAGAGAATCCCTCCCTGGTCTTTCTGCAGCTGTATTCCCCACAGAGTGTGAGGAGTCCACAGGGCCAAGAACGTACCTACGCACATTCCTAAACTGACTCTTTTACTCTTCATATAGTGCTGAAATTTGCCTGAGATGCATCTTTTTGGTCCCTGCTTGGTTGACTATATCTAAATGGTGCCCAGGGGGGCTGGCCCCGTGGTGCAAGCGGTTAAGTGTGCGCACTCCACTGCCGCGGCCCGGGGTTCACCAGTTCAGATCCAGGGCGTGCACCGACGCACTGCTTGGCAAGCCATGCTGTGGCGGCGTCCCATATAAAGTGGAGGAAGATGGGCACGGATGTTAGCCCAGGGCCAGTCTTCCTCAGCAAAAAAAGAGGAGGATTGGCAGATGTTAGCACAGGGCTGATCTTCCTCACAAAAAAAAAAAAAATTGGTGCCCAGGTTATTCGTTTTAACAGGAAGCAGCAACTCCCATTTATTGAGTGTTTAGTTTATGCCAGGGGTTACATGAAGTGGTTAAGATACAGTATCACATTTAGTCCCCACAATAATTTTATGAGGTAGGGGGATTTATCCTAATATTGTGACAGATGTAAAATGTAATAATATCAGAAGTAGTTGAGTGATTTGCCTAAGACACAGAGCTAGGGAATAGAAAAAAACTTTTTGAAAAAAAATTTCACTTTTATTTACTTTAAAAGCTAATTTCCAACAAATGTTAATAGAAATCTGCTTTGGAGTTAGATGTAAGTAATATGTTTTTATTATTTCTTCTGCCTGTCTTTATCATGCATAGGAATTCAACCTTATTGATAGAAGAGAACTTGCACCACTCCAAGAACTGATTGAAAAACTCACCTCAAAGGACAGATAAAAGGATGCAGAGCTGTATGAATTGTTCCTCAAATGACACTGTGTGGAGTGTATTTGGATTTTGTTGTATTTTATCTCAGTTGTTTTTGTCTTAGGTTTGGGGGGCTTATTTGGGTTCCTTTTTCTTTATTCTCAATAAATGAAACCATATTCATATTCTATTGCTAGAGGAAGCCAAGAACCATTATTGATAGGGGTAAATATTGCCTTAGTGGCATAAAGTGTTTTCATTTTTTTTTTTTACTTGGTTTTGGTTACTTGTGGAATTTTTGATAATATGGTGTGTTGAAAGAAAATGCTTATTGATTGGACTGCTGATGGATGGGGGTTCTGTGTTGTGTAAATTGTGGCTGATTTTTGAAGTCCCTGAAAGACTTGTTTTTAAGTGCCTTGGCAGGCTCACTTCTGAGGTGCAAAGCACAGACATAGAACTGAACAGGGCTTGAAACAATATTAGGATCACCACCCAGGGCACTTACTGATGCATGTTTTAAAATGTCTACGATAAAAGCCATAGTTTACCTAACTTGGTGATTTCCAGCTTTTACTACAGTGAAAAAACACAATTTGTAAAGGTGTGCATGTAGAACATAAAAATTTAGTATTTCTTAATTATTTTTGATATTGATGGTAATTGTGTTCAACAAATGCTCAAAGTTCTACAAGCAGGTCTTTTTCCATCTCTTGATATCTGTGATATTGAAACTTGAAGATGTTGAAATGTAGTACCTATTGCATTTTGGCTTGTTTCTACATGTTAACTGCACTGTAGGTGTAAAAATTCAGGTTGTATATAGGTTTGCCATCTTCAGAGGTGATACTGAACTGTGAGGTTTCTTAGCAATTGCCAAATGAGCCATAAGTCTGCAGAATCCCCTTCTACTTTGAAGAGGAGGGGAGAGGAGTGTGTGTTTGGTTGTGGGGGTATTTGTATGGGGAGTTAGGGATGGGATTAAGTATGGGGAGTCAAGTTCAAGAAAGTCCTGTCTAAAACCCTTGAATAGAATGGCATGAAGATTTTAATCAATTTCTTGTAAACAAAGTCTTAGAGACTTCCTTTTAGGAATCCACTTCCATGAGAAGTTAAAAATAAATTATTAATTTTAGGTATAGACATTAAACATGGAATTTAAGGACTATTTGGGGAAATTCATCACTTTCCAGCATTTCCATTCAGTGAATGGAGCTGGTGTTTGCCTATCATTTTAAAATGATACAGTACCTTCTTTGCTTATTATAGTCCCAGTTTGAAGCATTCTGACTTCTGATATTTTCACTGTGAAAGGAAATTTTTTTTTGCAGTGATATCAAACAATGAAAGTGCTAATTCAGTAGTTATTTAACTTTTACATTTTATTTGCCATGACTTTCTAGTGAATTATCCCTATAAGTAAAGAGTTCACAAACTTAGTTTTTAAAATAAATATTAACATTTTTCACTTCAGTTTTATTTTTGAGAAATACCCTTTTCAGACTTCCAATTTTAATTTTGTCCTTTCTGGTAAATCTGTTTCCTTCAGTTAGAAATATATAGTCTTCCTTCAATTAGAAATATATACCTCTTTTCTTGTAGAATAGAAATCTTGCTCTGAAATTGTATAGACTAAAAACACTTAGTAGAAAAGAATCTAAAATGAAATCAGTTTGTTTTTGCCATTAACAAGTAAAGCAGTATACAATGTATTGCCATTATAATTATGATCACTAGGAACTGTCTCTTTCTCCGTTTTCATTTCTAGCAATCATTCTCCAAGTACCAACAGTAGGAGTAACAGGAGAGCCTAGCAGAGGCAAATATATTGGACATTCATTGGTAATGCTTATTTCTAAACTGCAGTGAGAACTAGCTGATTTCCTTAGAATAAATCTTTTAGTATCCAAATAGCTAATATCAGCCACTGTAAGTTGATTCAGAAATAAAATTTGACATCAAGTGATTTGGGGTCCCACCTATTTAGGAAAATGAAGCACATGATTATTCAGTAGTCTTCCATACTGCATTGACTTCATATCAACCCAATAACAAAAGAGTTGCAATAGCCAAGTATAGAGAGAATAGTGAAAAATTGTTCTTGCTCTTTTAAGCCTTATACCATAGTTCACTGTAAAAAACAGAAAAATGTTTCTGTAAATTAATGTTTAGTAGTAGGCCTACTTTCCTACTGTATGTAGGTGGGAGTTTGTTGTCACTGTGCCAGAATCGCAGGTGCCTGCTTCTGAGTATTCCTTTAAACAGAGGTAGTGGGAAGTAAAGAGATACGTATGTGTATATATGGTAACAAGGTAGAGGAGTTCTCCCAGGGAGAGGCCTGGCATTGTACATGATGTTCCATGGCTGCAAGTAAGGAAACACTCACCAGAGCATGTGAGAAATAACTGATTTAATAAAAAGTTACTTTGATTCAGTTGGTTCCCATAAGCATTAGTAAGATGCCCTTTATAAAACAAGAATCAAATCTTAGTTTTACGGCAGAGTTTGCTTATAAATGTCTATTGGATTCTTTCCAAATCTCTTTATTTAATTTATAAATAATCAAGATAATGATTTTTCCTCCTGCTGTTTATGCAGAGATATAAAACAGAAGGTGGTTTTCTTATCTGCTGATAAAAGCATAAAATATAAAGTAGTAAGTTAACATAGTATTATTGGCACAATGCTTTGGTTAAATGTTGATATGAAGCAAGTTTTAGGAATTATTTTAAATGAGGAAGTAATGGTGGAGAGAAATTAATAACAGAAAGAGTGAAAATCTTTTACTTAGCAGTAGATGGTGCTACTTGCTTTCATTTGCCGACTTGATTGTTCTGTTTCCCATAGGGACCATGGCATTAGACTGCAGTAAAACAGTGAGCATGTGTGTGTTAGCTGGTAGAGGCTTTGGAGGTCAGTTTACCTTAAACTGAAAGATTTTAAATTGGTATCTCTTTCTGCCTTTGTTTGTCATTTGTAAATTCTAAATAGTAAGCATAAAATGTATTAGGTAGGAGAAGACATGTTCAGTGGAGAAGACATGTTCAGTGTATAATATATCTCATACTGAGTTACTGCCTGGCTTACCAGGAAAGATAAAGCACTACAATATCTTATATTCAGGAAATACAGATGTTGTGGATATTTATATTTTACATGTAATCACGAGACTCCATTTTATGTATTAGCATTTTCCTTGCTTATGGGAAAATAGCAGAATGACAGATTTCTTTTATACCTTTGTCTACACCCTCTCTGAGAGAGGTTTTGATAACCACTGAAATGGTAAAATATGAGATACAATTATTAAGTTGTAGGACTTTCTTTTAAAATAAATGTCATAGCTTAAATATCCAGATGAGAGTTTTATCTTCAGAGTGGTTCCTTTGGGAGCACTACTTATTCCAGCTATGCTGCAAAAGTGTAATGTTTTTGGAACGCTTTCAGAGATGCCTTGAGAATTGGATTATAATTATGCAACAAAATCTATTTTAGTTGCACCAAAAACTTTCTTGGCATCTTCATATGAACTATCTCATTCACTAAACCAACTCTACTTTGCTGCTTTCTTAGAACTAAACCATTAGGGAAGTTCAAAAGGACTTCCTGCCATAGGCTCTGAATTTGCAGAAGACAATGTTTTGAGCATTGGTAGCATCATTTAAAAAAGGAATAGTTTCCTGAATCACTACTTTGAAGTGAACAGTAATCATTTGGATGTATAGGTTTTATTTTATTGTTTTAAATTTAGTTTCAATTACCTTACAGTTAGATATAATAATAAAAGAAAATCAAAGTCTTTCTCTTGTTTTCTATTTTTTGTTCCTTTCTCTGATAACTTTTGAATTCTATCTTGACTGCTGTAGGATAGTTTTGATTGAAAGGGTAGTAAGAAAAAATAGATCCAATATTTAAGATAGAAGTAGCTTAAGGAAATAACAGCTTTTACCTCCATCTTTTTTTTTTTTTAATATATTTTCACTCAAAAGAACAATTTGAATTTAAAGACTAGAGATCATTGTACAAAGAAATTGGAATTAATTTTATATATTAATCATGCTGAGTTTTAAGCCTACATATCACATGAAATATTTAAAATTGTATAATCATTTTATATATCATTTATAACTTTAAAATTTTGAATATCTTTTTAAAAGATATGGGACCAGAAACATATTTGTAATTTGAAAATGTGACCGCATTTACCAAGAAGAAAACTTATTTTGAAACTTATCTGGGTTATGAAAGAATATACCAATTCTTAGAAATGCTATTCTAGATCTAGATTTAGATCTAGATTTAAGGACCCCTCCTAAAATAAGTTAAATATCAGAGTTTTGTCATAATGTTAAGATTCACCATAGGAATTACTGTTGTTCAGCTATCAGTTTAATGGTGTATGAGATAAATGTTTAGAGGTAAAGTCAAGATTTAATGAAAAAGTTTAAGATATGGTAACAATTCTGACTGAAGACAATTTGAATTTTTAAGGCTTTCCTAATGAGCTAATCATAGAGAAGAATTCATTTTGAAGGTATAAATTGTGCTCCATGTCTGCCACTTGTAGTTGAACTGATACTTAAATTTTGACAAAAGACAGAAAATACAGATTAAAATATTGAGTACTTTCAGTTTTGCAAGTATGATGTTTCTTTTTCTGCACATTATACAATAGAAAATTTTAGATTACAGTTCTCTAAGATAGACAGTGAAATCACTGGCCTTTTCCAGCTATATGTTTACCTGTCATCTCCTCCTTGGTGGTAAATTAGTTCTTTACTGCTATTGACTTTCCATATTACCCCGCACCCCCAACACACACTTAGAAAACAAAGTGTGATTGTGCAATTCCTCATTGTTAGTGATTCTGAAGTACTTGCTGTTAATACATAGGTTTCAGCTGAAGTGTTGGAAGATGCAATTTACATAAGCATTTTTGGTTGATTTCGGTTGATAGCTTTCTTTAAATTACATCACTGAAGCTGAGATTATTAGTGATATAAATTTAAATTTTTTGTTAATATTTAATTTCTCATATATTATTAAATTCTTATATGTGGGTGTTTCTTACAGTTTGCACATGTTTTTTGTTTCTGAAATACTTAATTGTGCAGGTTGTAAAACAGATTAGTGCATTTTCATTTTAAGAACACTTTTCTCCTTAAATTGTTGTGCAGAGGTAACTATTTTTAGGGGAAATAGTTTTTTACAGCCACTAAATTGTATTTGTTATTTTTGTACATGTATAACTAGGGTGATAAGGGCACTAATCTTGTGGGGAACACTTAACTTTTGTTCTATTTGAATTTTATTCCTATACATTGTTACTTAAAATTATCTAGGAAAAGTGTCATGAAATCTAGGATGAGAGAGAATACAGTAAACATGGGAACACTTAAAGTTTGAATAGAAATCATTTCTGAGGACAAAAGCAAAAGAATACTGCCAGTGCCAGATAATGTAAGCATAGGGGCAGCATTCACATTGTGCAAGTACTGCAGAGAATGCATAGACAGGGATCCTGCTCTCATGGAGATAGATAGTTTCTCTCTATATTAAAGTTGCTAGAAGGGGAAAAATGGTCTAAAATATGAAATGCAATGTGGGCGCTATGTTGTAAACTGTGCCAAGATTACTCAGATTGTAGTTATTATTGATCAAAGTTTAACTGCTTCATCATTTTTAATTTAAACTGAGTGTCAGAAAAATCTGTAATATGTTTTAACTGAGATGTAAATAATGTATACAGACTTGTATGTGATAGGATGGGAAATATTTAAATTCTACGTTTTTTTTAAAGGAAGAAACTGAATGTTTATTAAAAAAATTAATAAACAGTTATGTTTGGCCATGAATCCTGATTTTGCATTACTGTTTATTTTTACTATAGGTATTTCCACACTGAACACATTCCTAGAGAAATATTGAAGGTATATGGAGTATGTTGAACATTTAAAATTTAAGCATTATTTTTTATAATGTTCACAATAACCCTGGAAGTTAGTCTCTCAGTGTCTTACATACTAGAAAGCTAAAGCTCAGAAACTGTATGTGTCACTGATTAGGATTAGGGTTTAAAAACCCAAATATACTTGACCTCAAAGCCAATGCTTTTGATTGTTGTTTTCTTTAAATATACTATATTACCACCACAACAGTTAGCAAAATAATTATTTGTTGACCTTTTCATCAAGCTAAGATTTTATGTAACATTTTGTTTTCATTATAGATCATTAAAGAATATTAATAAACAGTATTCAGGAATCT